CGATTCTAGTAGCGTTGGACTTGTCAAAGGCGTTTGACACCGTCTGCCATTCCACGCTACTAGAAGATATAGAGGCCTCCTCTCTCCCACAGAGGCTCAAACGGTGGTCGGCAAATTATCTGAGTGGTCGACATTCGTCGGTAATGTTTAGAGACAAAACGAGTAAACAGCGAAAAATAAAACAGGGGGTTCCTCAGGGTGGTGTCCTTTCCTCGCTACTGTTTAACTTTTACATTTCAAAACTCCCTCAACCACCAGAGGGAGTCTCGATTGTCTCCTATGCCGACGATTGCTCGATCATGGCGACTGGGAATGGAATTGATGACCTGTGTTCGAAAGTAAACGGCTATCTCTCCGAACTTTCTCGCTTCTTCACTGCAAAGTGTCTAGCCTTCTCCCCTGCGAAATCCTCCGCGACCCTGTTCACAACCTGGACGAAGGAGATCAGGCTACCGCTGGGGATTCACGTCGATGACACACCAATTCCGACGGTGAATAACCCCAAAATACTCGGAGTAACATTCGACAGCCTGCTGTCCTTCTCTGCGCACTCAACCGCTATTGTCAATAAAGCACAGAGCCGCAACAAGGTCCTCAAGTCGCTAGCCGGCAGTACTTGGGGCAAAGACAAAGAAACGTTGCTGGCAACATACAAGGCAATAGGCCGGCCGGTTTTGAACTACGCAGCGCCAGTGTGGTCGCCAGTGGACGAAGCTACAGACTGTACAAAACACCGCACTCAGGACAGCGACGGGATGCCTCTTGATGTCGCCTGAACACCACATGCACGGCGAGGCGCAAATGCTCCCTGTAAAGGAGCATAATATAATGCTCTGCAAGCAGTTCCTGATCGGGAGCCACAGAAGTGGCCACCCAAGCAGACAGCTGCTTGCAGAGGAGCCCTCGCCTAGGCACGTCAGGAGGCATCTATATGAACTGGCGGAAGAAGTCCAGAGGTTCATTAAGCAACCTCTGGACCCGACAGCTTACAGACAGGCCCTGAACGGCATTCACAGGGACTCAGTCTCGAGTTATGTAGACTCTAGACCTGTGAATGCCGTTCTAGGCATACCACCCCCGGACATAGACGAGACGGAGCTTCATCTGCCTCGGGAGACACGCACAACACTCGCACAACTTCGCTCCGGCTACTGCAGCAGGTTGGAGTCCTACTTGAGTAGGTTGAATGAGGATGTGCCGAATGAGTGTCCGGCATGCGGAGAGACCCCACATGACTCGAAACATCTCTTCGCATGCCCGGAAAACCCGACAACCCTAACGGCCTTGTCCCTGTGGACAAACCCCACAGAAGCTGCACGCTTCCTAGGGTTGCCGTTAGTGGAACTTGACGACAACGACTGAGATACCAACCGATCTGGGCGGGGTTGTTGTAGCCGCTACAACAACAACAACAGGTCTTCAGATGCTCTTCCCCCTTCTTCCGCTTATGTACGTTCACTAGTTGCCGAATCTCCGCTTTGAGATCCCTGATACGGGGATCTCCGGGATCGGCCTGACGAAGGCTGTCACGCTCATCGGCTAGAACAGCCGCTTCGGCAGGGAAATTTGGACATGGGTCCGTGTTGCATCCTGCCGGTACGAAGCGAACTGCAGCAGCGATGTAAGCCCTGCGGAACTTACGTTCACCAAGGTGGACGTCGGTTGGTGTGGGGAGAGCAGAGAAGGTGTTTTCAGTAAATTCCGCGAAGCCTTTCCAATCAGCTTTAGAGAAGTTGATATAGGTTCGGTGCTCCGCGGAAGCAAAGTCGGTTGGTTTATCGATCGAGATGACAATGGGCAGATGGTCTGATGCCAAAGTCAGCATAGGTCGCCATGATATGCTGTTTATCAGACCAGCGCTGACTATTGTTATGTCCGGCGAGCTGCAGCAGCTGCCCATAATCCTGGTGGGTGTGTCGTCGTTCATTGTGCAGAATGTCGAGTCGTCTATATGCTCAGCCAAATCGGTTCCCCTACGATCGTTTGACAGGCTTGAGTGCCAAAGATCGTGGTGCGCACTTAAGTCACCTACTACCATCCGGTTTTCACCTCCGCACCTATATCAGGGTGATATCCTGCCGGGCAGCAGGTGACAGGGGGTATGTATACGTTGAATATTTCGAGCTCAACATCTCCTGACCGGATAGCAATGCCCTGACATTCTAGGGTGGTATCCCTGCGGTCGATGTCTGCTTCGATAAGACGATACTGCACGGTGTGGTGCGTGATTAACGCTAAGCCACCACCATTATCTCGCTCGCGATCTCGACGGTGCAC